CTCACAACAATTTCTCTCATTTCACATTCAAGAACCTTGGCCTCTCCCAGCCAGGAGACTGTGCCCTCTCCTCTAGAACCAGGGCAGCCCTTTGTAGTTGCCCTGGTCAATGGGGTGTGGCAGAGAAAGCTAAGCGACTTCCAAGGCCAGGTCCTAATCATGCCATGAATTGCTCCATTGTTCCCATGGGATACCACCCTTGGGACCTGGCTGCCATGCTCTAAGGAAACCCAGACTAGCCCTCATAAGACACGTGCAAATGTTCTGGTCTTTAGGCCAAGTGAACTCTTGTCAAAGGTCAGCATCTACTCCCCAGTGTGGGAGTGAAGACACCTCCAGATGACGACAGCCTCCAGACTTCAAGTTACCCCCTGATTTGGGGATCTTCCAAATGAGGCTCCACATGTTAGAAAGAAAAGACAAGTTGTTCCCATTCTATCTGACCTACTGTTGACCTACAAAAACCAAGGGCATAATAAAATGGATGTGTCAACATCACCAAGTGCAGAATAGTCTGTCATGTTGGTGGTAAACACCGTGGTCCTCTATGGCCCTGGGTGCTGCTGGTGGGAGCTCATGGGTCACTGTGGCCAGTGATTTCTGCCCTTGATGGCACAGAAGTCTGGTGCACTTCCTGGGTGAAGCTGAAGCAAGATGACAGCTCATGACAGCAGACTTAATGTCTCTCTGAAAAGGCTCCCTTGCTTATAACTATTCCAACAACTGAAGTTCTTGTCGGGGAATAGGTGTCTTGCGCATTTGTCTTGCCTTCTCTCCCCCAGCAGGCCTTCCACTCTGTCCCCAGCCTTGGCACCACTGCCCTGCCCTGCCCTGTCCAACCCTGAGAGATGCTAGGCTGGGCCCCTGGACTCAGCATATCACCAGCTTCAGGCCAGTCACACCACTGGCATGTCCCAAGAGTGGTGACCACTTCTGTGCAGTGGGCAGACGGTTGCCCATGGAGAGTTAGTAGGGATGTAGCCCACAGTGGCTTGGGGCCAGGGTGTGATGTGCTCAGACTGGTCCTTAGGGAACATTGATACCAAGGAGAGCTGAGGTGGGGGCAACGTTGGAAGAGTAGGTGATGGGGACTGAACCCAGGCAGCGGAGGTGGGTTGGAGAAGACTGCAGATCCTTTCCTTGAGGTAGAACTGATGGGACTTAGTTCTCAGCTGAATGTTGAACACAGGAAGCAGTGGATGCTCCACAGCGAATCCATAAAATGAAAGCCAGAAAAGAAGAGGCAGAAAAAAAGAAGTTGGAAAAAATGAGGGTGAAGACCCTGAACTGAACAAGACACCAGGAGAAGACAGCAGGAGTTTAGGCATCACCTGGGGCCTGGCACAGAGACCCTGAAGGCATCAGCGTAGAGCTGATGGCAGGCGCCACGGGGATGGGACTGAGGGCCCAGGGAGTGTGCACTGAGCAGAGGTGGGGCCGGCAGGGACCCCTGGGCAACTGGCCTTTATATGAAGGACAGTCATGGGCACAAGGGAGGTAAGACCTGCAGCAGTGGGGTCTCAGGAGCGACTCTCTCTGGCATCTAATGTGGCTCCTTGCAAATCATAGGTGCTTAGTGAGTGTTTGCTGAGCAAGAGACCCAGTGCCTGTGCAAACTGCAGCTCGTCTCTCACACCAGGAAAGCACTAGACCAAATGCAGGGGCAGTGAGGAGGGTGCAGACCTGAAAGCCCAGCCCGCTCAGCTGGGCTTTGCTACAGAGTGGCAGACCACCGGCCTGGCGTGCGTCAATCACAGATGGGCTGTGCCTCATATCCAAATGTACCAGGCGAGCTGTGACAGGCTGCAAATGGTGACAGCCACACACTGCCTGCCGCAGCTCAGCTGTCAAGTGGAGGGCAGCCTTCCTGTGAGTGAGCAGGGACACCTCCACTCGGGGCCAGGGGTCTAGAACCTGACACACCTCCCGAGTGGTCACTGCTGGCGGCCTCCTCTGGACATCTGCAGGCCACTCACATGCAGGCAGGTCCTGCTGCCAGGCTCAGTCATAGTGGCTGGGAATGTCATGCAGAGACGTGAACAGCTGTGCTGGGGATAGGGACCACATGGGCGGCGATGAGGAAGGGCCAGGCCACACTGCTCCCGAAAAGCCTGAGAAGAAAAGCAGCAGCAGGGAACGCGTGGTGGACGTGTCTGGGCATCGTGTCCGGTGACATGTCCTTCCTCCTGGGGGCTGGGAGGAGGGCCAAAGGTCCCCCTGTGGGGGACAAGAGGAGACAAGTCTCTGGAAAGACAGACAGGAACAGAGGCACGGAATGAGGAGGGAGGGTTTGGAAAGAGCAGCCAGAGCACCCGATGCTGGAATCCTCAGTGCTCTGGAACTCTGGCTATTCTCAGCATAATCTGGAAATGGGACATCCACCTTGTAGATGTGATCCACACAAAACAGGCTTCTCCTTCCCCTTTCCTTAGTGAAGGTGGCCACCCCTGACCTTGGGTGAAGATTTAGGCAGGACCTGTGGCATTCCCTCTTATTCTTGGGTAAGCAATGGCCTTGTAGCCACTTGAATCACATTCTGAGTCTCAGGCTGCAGCTGAGGTGTTTGCTGAGGGAAAGGCAACATGGAGTAGGTAGTGGAAGAAGGAAGCAGTGAACATCAGCCACCAGCTTCGACCATGTGGCCAGCTACATAGAGAACTAGAATAGTGATGGTCTCTCGTCCTTGCTGTGATATGAAGGTGTGTGTATTTACACAGATCCACATATGAAAATCTACCTAGTGTTTTGAAACACCTTCCCCACTGACACCTACCTGACTCACAAGGTCACGGTTGGATGTATTGGGGAAAGACCTCCTTTAGACACTGCCCGGACTTTCATAGTGTGAATCTTCCTGCTAGGCCCCGCAAGGGCGCCCGCATTTATCAGGATGGCTGTGCATCGGAAGGAAAGAAATACCAAGGCTTGTCAAGGATGACCGAAACTGGCTCTGAATGAACGATAATTCCTGGGGACCCAAAGCAACACTGCGGTCCACAGTTGGGGGGGACACATACTTACATCCATGGGTAAATTTTATCCATATGCTTAAATCTTTGTTTCTATTTTCCCACTCTAACATGAGATGTGTTAATAATGGTTAACTTTATATCATGATGTTTAATTCACAGGATACAGAATCAGAGTGTGACTTCTCTAGAAGAGGAAAAGCCATCCTCGAGGATGGAAAAGGTCACACATGACGCTCAGTGTCCTTTCTGGGAGAGGGATGATGTCAGTGTTCTTGGACTGCCATAAAAACAAACAAACAAACACGACAAAAGCACAGACTGGGTGGCTTACACAACAGAAATTTACTCCTCACGCTTCTGGGGGCCCAAAGCGTGGGACGGAGGTGCCAGTTGATCAGGCTCCGGGTGGGCAGCCTCTTGCTGACTTCGTGAGAGTGAGCTGTGGAGTCTCGTCCTGTCCTTATAAGAGCACACGTCTGGTCATGAGTACCGGCCCCCATGACTTCATGAAACCTAATCACCTCCTCAGGCCCTATTCCGTCTCCCCAAGCACTGGGGTGAGGGCTTCAGCATAGGAACCTGGGGGACACACTCAGGCCATAGCAGATATGTGCTTTAGTTTAGTCCAAAGTATAATCATGTTCTGTCTTTATGCGGAAGTTTAACATATAGTCCTGACAGATGGCTATCCGAGCTGATGGGGGTTGAGCTCTTTTGGATTATGGAATTCTGGCCTGGCTACAGCCGCTTTGCATCCCCTGCCCTGTGTGCTTCCCAGGTAGAGCTGACCATGCGTCTGGGGAAGTGAAATCCGAGGCGCTTCACTTCCCTCAGAAACCACCCACTATATTACAGTGCCTCAGGTTCCTGGCGGGACACTGACTGGAGATTTTGGTTCTCTGCTAAGATGCTAGAGAGGCTGCTGTCGGAACCCTGTCTAACAGAGAAAGGCCCTGGAGAGAGAGCACCCACTGCCCTCGCCCCCTCCCTGACTCGCCTTCACAGCTCTTCTCTGCGCCCGGCGCCCGGCACAGCACGTGTGTGTACACTGGGCTGCTGTGTTCCCAGAATCCCTCAGGAACACAGCAGGTGCTAGGCGTTCAGTATTTATTGGATGAATACTTGGGGGAAGCTGTTTTAAACACTGGTAGATCATGATCAGAGTAACAGCAATTTTTCCTACAGTGTATGCAAAATATTGAATTCATAATACTCTAGGTAAAGAAGAAAGTAAAGAAGGAAGTGGGGGGAAGGGTAGGACAGGGAGGAAGAAGGTAAAGGAGGAGAAGAAGAGGAGGAAAGAAAGAGGAGGGGAGGAGAGGAAGGGAGAGGGAGGGCGGGAGGGCGGGGGAGGCTGTGAATGTGGCTGACAATGCAGGAGCTTTGTGCAGGTCACCGGGAGGCAACTCTGCGCACAAGTCTTATTATCAGATGACAGGTGAAGCCCCTAAGGCCCAGGGGACTAAAGGACTTGTAGAAGGTCTTTACAAAGTGGTTGAGCTGGAGTCCAAATACAGGGTGCCTGATTTCAAAACTCACATTCTTGCCATCACACCACACCACCAGAGAAAGCAGATGTATTATGAGAAGAAAAATTGAAATGCTCTTTAAAATCGTATTAAAGCATCCCATGTGGGTCTGAAATTACAGACTTGACTTCTTAGCTTGACCAGTTTGCTGAAGTACCAATTAATAATCAGTCCTTTTACCTGTGGACTTCATCTGTGCACTAGCAGGCAGTTCTGTGATTTATAACCAATGTTTTATGTAACAGTTGTGTGATCTCACTGAACATTTTCAATACCAATGCTTTGTTATAGACACATGATGAGTTGTATTATTGAAGGTATACGTTTTAATTTTAAACTAGTTTAAGAATATTACTATACAAAATACAGGTTAAAACATTAGAGCAATAATAATGATGACCAGCTCTCTGTGGAACCCCATGGATAACCCCATAATTTCTCTACACCCACAAAATCTGGAGCTGATGGGTCACAGCCTGGGACAAGGCAGCCTGATGTTTCAAATCAATGGAGGAACTTCAGGGTCATCTTCAAAGCCTGGGTCTTCCTCACTTGGGGTAATTTTGGGTTCAGATTCCAGTCTTCTGGGTGTGTGTTTTTTCTCTTGAACTATGTTAGTTATATCAGGGAACGAATGTTTGCTGGGATCCACTTCTAGTTTTTCAATGTGCTTGCTTCTACAACAACACAAAAGAAAAGGGAAATTGATGTCACGTCATTTAAAATTTCAAGTAGATTTGACTCATTCACTCATTTATTCAGCAAACATTGGCAAGTGATATATATCCCTGAAGCACAAGATAAAAATAAAAGACTGTCCCCGGCTTCAAGTAACTTACAGCCTTGTGGAAGCAAGATTCTGACTTGTGAAGAAAAAAAAGTGCTACAACGTGCTGCAGGGCTGTCCTGACACAGGCAGCTGGAGGAGAGTTCACCCAGGAAACTCTGCTTACCTAGGACTTTTTTTTTTTTTTTTTTTTTTTTAATAATTGAAAGGATACAGCAGCAGGCAGAATCCCTCAGCTGGTATCAATAACAGAATCTCTCGTGAATGCAGCTTATCAGGCTTCTGGACCCTGTTGCTTCAGGCAATCCAACCCATCAGGGTTTGGCAGGGGCATCTGTACCACCAGTTCAGATGCGCAGCAACGCTCGGCCACCAACTTGCCCTGCACAAAACCTGCGCCTGCTGCCTGCATCCAGTTCTCAACTCAGCACAAATGAAACAGAATAAGGAGGGACCTCTGTTGGCCAGTGCTCCCAGTATCATGGTCCAGAAGGAACTCTGCAGATGATGCAGGACCCGGGGCTGCATTCCTGCTGATTTTGTTTTGATAGATCTGGAATTTGGCCCTATCATCTGTAGTTTTGTAATGCTACCCTCCAGTGATTCTGATAACCAGTGAAGTTATTTTAAAATTGCAGTGCCATTCATTCATCCAGCAGATCTATGCCTGCTCCATTCCAGAGGCAATGTAGGCACCAGGGATAGTCAGTGCAAACAGGCCAAGGTCCTGGTAATATGTAATAGCACAGTGTAGTTCTCTCACATAGAATTTGCTATACTGTCGTGTAATTATCTCATTATTGGTTTGTTTTCCTACAAGACTGACATCCTTGCAACGAAGGTTTCGTGTTTTTCACCTTGTATACTTGCATACAGCTGCTGCATAAATACTTGTTGAATAAGTGAAAAAATATTATTCTACTAGAGAAATAATGAAATTATATCAGAAATTACCTCTGACCTTAAAAAAGAAATCACAGTTAGTTTAATCCAGAATCTCCAAACTTATGTCCTGAAACTACATTCATCCAGCAGACCACTGTTAGGGAAGGAAGTTCCCATTTTCCTCTGGAACTGTGAACTCTCTACTGTCTTTGCAACCCCTCCTCCTCATTTCTGTAATCTGCTCAGCCCTTGAAGGCATTTGAGTTTTTAATTCCTTTTAGTATTTTGACTAATACACACAGACCTGTGAAGAGAAATACAAAGTGCACAAAGAATATGAATAGGATAGTCTGAAGACCCAGATTGCACGCCATGAATAAACTGTGTATGGCACAGGAGGAGGAAGGGCTTCAAAGGGGCTTATGTATTCTCTGAAGAGGTGGGAGAGGTGGGAGTGCCCTGGAGGATGTAACAGGATGCGGATGCACAGAAGAGGGAACCAAAGCTCCAGAGAAACGGTGCCGTGGTCATAACCCAATCGCATCTTCTCAGATGCCCCTGAACAGCGGTATTCACTGACTCCTCTGCCTTTAAAGGGACAGAGATTCATGGCTTCTGCGATGAAGCGCTTATCATCAATGCACAGGAAATAACAGTCCTCACAAGGCTGGAGGCTTACTGCAGAACAGAAAGAACACCCAGAGCCGGCCAGAGGTGACACTCTTTAGAAAGGCCCACCTGCAGGGCTGGGTGTCGCCTGCTAAATTGTTCCTTGTCTCTTCATGAAACTTTCCCTGAACAATGAGGGTGATGCACTGTGCCCTAGAAATGTACGCAGTCAGCATGGTTTATGCTCTCCTTCTGGGAGTACAGGACTTTGGTACATGCCAGGCAGAGGGTGCCTACTAGTCCCTAATAAAAACCCCAAGCAGTGAGTCTCTAATGAGCTTCCCCAAAGGACATTTCAAATGTGCTGTTGCGAATAATTACTAGAGGAGTTAAGTGTGTCCTATGTGACTCTACCGGGACAGGATGCTTGCTTGCACCTGGTACTCTCTGGATATGGCCCCTTTGCTGAATTTGCTATAATAAATCTTAGTCATGGATATGAATATATGCTGAGTCCTATTAGTCCTGATTCTAATAAATCACTGAATCTAGGGTCATCTTGGGGACCCCTGACACATTGTCTTTTACTGAGACCTGTAGTAAGCCTCTTACCTGTGTCACTGAATCTTCAGAAAAGCTCATTACCACCTCCTTCGGGCCCAGGGGTAGGACAAAAAGAGCAGCCAGCCAAGGACAATCCACAGATAAACAAAGGCAGGGCTGGGCTGGGAAGTGAATATGGGTCTGTGATATTAACATGACATAAACTGTCCCTCATGGAAAATCAAATACCATACAAGGCACAAATAATCAGTTTCCTATCTTTCATATCTGGCTCATAAGATTAAATCCATCAAAAAAGTTCTCCATGTCTTTTGTCCACTTTTTAATGGGGTTATTTTTTTTTCATGGTGTTTTGTTTGAGTTCTTTGTAGATCCTGGATATTAACCCTTTAGTGGACATGTAGTTTGTGAATACTTTCTCCCATTCTGTAGGTTGTTTAGTTACTCTGTTCATTATTTCTTTTGCCATGCAAAAGATCTTTAATCAAGTCCGTTTTTTAATTTAAAAACATTAAGGGGGTTACACGGCTTAAGTCAAGGCCTATCATCTAACTAGTGTTCATTATACCTCTTGGGTGTTTTTTTAATCTCATTTATTTTTTTGTATTTGCCTTTAAAGTCTTAGCTATAAATTCTTTGCCTAGTCGGATGTCTAGAAGAGTTTTTCCTATGTTTCTTCTAGAATTTGTATGGTCTCCTGCCTTACATTGAACTCTTCCATCTATCTTGAATTAAATTTTGTTTATGGTGAAAGATAGGGATCCAGGTTCTTTTTATCCCCTTCATCCTGTTTCATTCTTCTGCATGTGGCTATTCATTTTCCCCACTCCATTTATTAAATAAGGCTTCCCTTCCCAGTGTAGGCTGTTGTCGGCTTTGTCAAAGGTCAGTTAGTTGTAGACGTCTGGTTTTATTTCTGGGTTCTCTATTCAATCTGTGTCTCTATTTTTATACTAGTCCCATGCAGTACTGGTTATTGAAGCTATAAGTCAGGTAATGTGATGCCTCCAGATTTGTTCTTTTTCTTAAGATTACTTTGGGTATTCATGTTCTTTTTTCATTCCAAATGGAACTTAGAATTTCTTTTTCTAGAGATGTGAAATATGGCGTAGGTATTGTGATGGGTGTCGTGGTCAGCCTGTAAGTCACTTTGGTCAGTATAGACATTTTAACGTGTTGATTCTACCAATCCATGAGCTTTTCCTATTTGTTTGTGTCATCTGTGATTTTTTTCATTAGTGTTTTGTAGTACTCCTTGTAGATATATTTCACCCCCTTAGTTAAGTATATTCCTACGTAGTTAATTTTCTTTTTTTTTTTGGCCGGGGCTGGGTTTGAACCCACCACCTCCGGCATATGGGGCCGGCGCCCTTCTCCTTGAGCCACAGGCGCTGCCCCGTAGTTAATTTTCTTTGTACCTACAGAAGTTTTTCAAAAGAAGATAGACAAATAGCTAACATATGAAAAAAGGCTCAATATCAGCAGTCTTCAGGGAAATGGAAATAAAAATTACAATAAGATGCCACCGTACCCCATCAGGCAAAAAAGAAAAAAAAAAGATGCTGGTGTGCAGAGAGAAAGGAACACTTACTCATTGTTGCTGGGACTGCAAATTAGTACAACCTCTATGAAAAACAGTATAGTAATTCTTCAAAAAAAGAAATGTAGACTTACCAGTTGGTTTAGCAATCCCACTATTGGGTATCTACCCAGAGGAAAAGAAGTCTTTTTACCAAAAAGACCTGTACTTGAATGTTGATGGCAGCACAATTCACAACTGCAAACATGTAGAATCAATCTAAGTGCCCATCAATTCATGAGTGGATAATGAAAATGCGGCATATATAATGTATACCAGGGAGCACTACTCAGCCAGAAAAATGAACGAAATAATGCCTTTCACAGCAACTGGAGACTATTCTCCTCAGTGAAGTATCTCAGAAATGAAAAAACAAACACTACATGTACTCTCTAATAACTGGGAACTAAACAGTGGGTACCCAAAGAGATGTAAAGGTCACTGGAAATCGAGAAATGAGGAGCATGGAGAGGTAAGGTACAAAACGTACCTGGTAACAGACACACAACAAGCCCGGACTCAAGCACTGTACAAGATACCCATGTAATATGCTCCTTTTGGAAAGAAGTCTGGAGAACACTTAGGGAACTAAAAGTAGGCCTGCCATTCGATCCTACAACTGTAGTAAGAGAGGAGCACAAGTCAGTGTTCCAGGATAAGGGTAAGAGGCGGCTAGTCAACTCAGCGTGCTTTTCAGTACACACCTTTCAGGTGCCTGGTACCATATCAGTGCTAGGAATCTGGAGGTGAGCAAGACACGGCTCGTTCCCCAAACCCAATGCAGTACATCCACATACTCGGCTATGTGCAGCGTGGCAAGGCCTCTGCAAGCAGAATACACAGATCGTGTTGAAGCCATAGGAGGAAACAATCCTCAAGGTCTAGAAGGAATTGCGGTAGGAATTGTACAGGGAAGGGAACTCGGCACCTGGCACTGAGGAAGGACAGGATTTTGCTAGATTTTGAGGGATCAGGACATTCCAGATAGATAACACATTCACATGGTAAGAAAACATGTGTACGGCTCAGTCTTAGCCTGGTATCATTAGAGAATGAGGTACCCAAGGGGAGCAGGGAGTGGGGGAGTCATAGGAGTGGGAAAGTGTGGCCCAATCCAGCTAGGGTGGGGTCCCAGTAAATGAGGGAAGGTTGTATGGAAGAATTAAGTTCACGTGATGAGGAGGCTGCCTGGAGAAGAGCGTTCAAGTCAGAGGCCGAAACTTATGGATACGTGGCAAGTGCTGGAGGCACAA